CACTTGCGTCGTATGTCTCTATTTATGTCTATGGTATAAATAAATTAAACTTATCCATGTCTTTTGAAAATAGATTATACAATGTAATATATCTAAGTTACAAATTAAAATATAATTCTTAAGCCGAAAAAGCCCCACATTAAGGACAATTAATTATATAAATTTTATTTATTAGTAGCGGACCCGGCGAATTTTTTGTATTTTTTTTACGTGACTCTTAACTATTCTGTGGCGAAAACGATGCCAATAAATGATAGATCATCAAAATTTGTGCAGCCGTTCTAAAGTTACTAACCTGTCTTTGTTTCTTTCATATAAAATTATTTATTACTTTTATAATAGTTTTATAATTATTTATTTAGTTTACCGCTGAAGTTTTCATTGCTTTTAATGTTGCTCAAAATGAATGAAAATAACAAGGTATAGGAAGCTCTATAAATATGAATATACATATACATAGATAAATATATGCTCACGACTATAATCTCTAATGGGGTAATAATATCAATCGCCATTGTTGTGAACGTAACTCTCAATATGTCCACATATTCGCCGTACATTAAAATCCAACATACGTACACATATTTTAATATATTTTAATTTTAATTGGGTAGGCACAATAGTCCAACTATGGTAAACTAAAACATAAATTATGCAAAACACCCAAACATACAATCAATGATAAATAAATTTGTTTAAATATTTACATATAAAAATATAATACATGTTGCTAACTAACTATTAAGTATCTCTTGGTTGTATCCTTAGATTATATAGATACAGTGTCTCCATAGAAAAGATTCGAGAAAAACGGGTCAACTTTTTCATACAATTTTGCGCGATAAATATTTAGGAGTGATTCCTTTATAACTTCTATATCTATTTTTTTTTTTTACTATTTCTGCGTCTTTTTAATGAGTAAACACATATTTTATTTATTAAATAATACGTCAAGATACATTTTATGCGTTAGTTTATACCTATATAGAACACATAAAAAAACGAGTCTGCTAATTTGACAATTAGCTGACAAAAATTTACCCGTTTTTTGAGGCTTGATGCTCTGTCTATATAATCTAAAGTTGTATTATAAGAATCTTGGATCTTTAGAACAACGGATGGTTAAAGCCATTCAAAGCTCACCAGGCGAGCAGAAGATCGTGTGGAAGATGTACAGCATATACCCTGCACACTTAGATGTAGAGCTACCCTTCATTGGGGCTCGTGTCAGGGTCGTGGACTATTTCAGAAGGTATCTTATAGCACTGTTCCTTTGAATAGGAAGGTATATCATCAGATTGTTTAGTTGGTAAATGTCCAGTAGAACCTACATGGACCCTAAGCTTTGTGGGTCTGCATGATACATTTTACCTCAAATAAAAAAAAGGTTGTATCATAAGAACATATTCCGGCTATAGGTATATACACGAACGTGATTACTATTTCTTGCCACTATTTCTGCTATCGTATAATTTATAGGTTTTTTTTTATACAACTTAGAATGGCAAACAAGCTAACGGCCCACCTGATGGAAAGTGGTAACCGTCGCCTATAGACATGAGCTGTACCATGAACATAACAGAGTATACCGTTTCGCCCATGATACCTCCCATGCGTTGCCATTCCTGAGGACTCAGGTGTTATTCCTCTGTACCCTGTAAATTCACGCCAAAAAGTGCAAATTTACAGGTGCACTTGGATATGACTATTTTTCTTGTAAATCACCTGCTAAATTCAAGTTATTAAATGGCTAAAAAGTAAAGGAGTTGTATAATGTTATACAACTAAAAATAACAAACTGACGGCACACTTTATGTAGAAGTAGCAATATGAACAACACCATGGATATTACACTGTGACGCCCTTAATACCTAATTTTGTCTGTTACAACTGGTGTCCATACTTATCTATAACTTATAACTTTATCTAGCACAAAGTAAAGCTTAATGTTGTACTTTACAGAAAGATGTGACAGTATGTGTATAAAAAAAAAACTGTAAAAATAATTGCTTACTTTATTACTTAGTTAGTTTTTTGCTGGAATACCATACATAAAATATTTTGAATGATATTTTTTAATCGCATCGCGTTATTCAATAGATCTTCATGAAGTCAAAAATATACCACCATTTTTTTTAATAGCTATGACAATGGAATATACATATTTATTTCTACGTTTTTGTACTTTTTTGCTTTGTCGGACGCTAGTATTTGAGTAGTTTTTCGTCCGACATTATTTATTATATATATGTATAATGTAGGTACATATTATATGTATGCTATTTCTAAATTACTGTTTTAATTTAATATTATTCATTACGTTGCACCGTCAATTATATTTTCTGTTATTCCTATCTACGATCGATTGGTAGATAACGCCAATATAAATATGTATGGTGTCAAGTCGGTCATTTACACTAAGTGTATTAAAGTTTAATAAATAAATTAAAATTCTAAATTTTTCGCTAATAGACTACAGTATAAGTTTCTTTAAAAAAGCGTGAAAAGGTTTACATTCCTTTGGTATTGTAGAAGTCAGTTCGCTATTAGTATATTAGATCAGTATGTTGGTATACCATCATCATTATATCAGCCTTTAATTGTCCTCTCCATAAGTAGGATTTTGCCAGTAGTTGTCATGCTTGGCAGGCGTGTTAGTAAGTTTTAAAAGGGGCGCTGCTGCCTATCTTTTAACCATTAAACCCTCTTAGTCGCCTCCTACGACATCCAAGGGCAAGGAACGGGTGGCTCATTCAAGGCTGGGGCCACACGGCTATGGTATATACCTAGATCGAAATATATATTGCTTATTTTAGGAAAATCCCTTAAGTTTGCCTTTTTATTATAAATTATAATTAGATAGGTATATTTACGTAGATAGTAAGTACCTACTGTCTACGTAAATATATTCATATACGTAAGCGAAGAAGCAAATCATTAATAGATGTCCAAATAGTTGAATGTTTGAATTAAGCTGTTCACAGTTCAAAGAACCCTTTATCCCCCTAGAACCCCTTAGTATCATATCGCTGTTACTGTCCACTGTTGAACATAAGCCTTCCCCATAAGGAGAGTTTTGCCAGTAGTTGCCACACTTGGCAAGCAGGTTAATTTGCTTTAGCATGAAAGAAAAAAAGAAATATTTTTATTCAGGCAAACTTGGATTTAAGCATTTTTAAATAGTCATTTTTTGTATGATGATCAAATAGGTATATGAGGGGGAAAGGGATTGTTAGCAATGGAGTTTGACAGCCCCATTACTAGCAATATGCCTTATTAGGTCGACCTCCATGTGGTTCCCCCTGGAAACCATCGTGAACAATTCTTGTTGAATTCGTCACGATGGGCTAACTGACTTACTTCATCCTCACCTATCATCCTTCACTGGTGCCCCGCCTGTGTATACCGATAGCGCGGGTGGGGTTACCATTCCATTATCATCCATTAAAAAAAAATGGGTAGGTATATGATTATCAAATGATGTAGTTAAAACCGATTTGAATGCAAATAAATCATACAAATTGTTATTTCAACTCATATGATGTAGTCAAATCAGGAACAAAATAAATTTTGAATATTTGAACTACTATGTACCTAATTAACTAAAACGAAGGACACATTATGAAGTCACATAAACTAAATGTAAATAAAATTTTTGTGTGTTTACGGTCACCATAGTTATTTCCTTTCCGCTATTGTAAGGTCATTTTCACAATAAACACGAATATAAAAATACTCTATTTATTAAAACTATTGAAGTTGTTTAGACAGATTCGGATATATAAATATATATTTATATCACTCGAAAAATACTTCCCTTATTGGTCCAATTGAGAAAAAGAAGTACTTATGTGTGTACCTACCAAACTTCCATTTTACATGTAGGTATGCAACCTTGCTACGCAACTTACCTAGCTGTCTTATCCAAAAGCATAACGTGGTAACTGAGGGGGGAAGGGTTTAGTAGTAATGGGAAGGTTAGTCCTCATTGCTATCAATATACACTACCAGGTCGACCTCTACGCGGTTTCCCCTACAAATTTATCGCTAAATTCGTCACGATGGACTAACTGACCTGCCTTTCCATCCTCATCAATTCTCCCTCACTGGTGCCCAGCCAGTGTATACTGATAACGCAGGCGGGGTTACCATTTCATTATCATCCATTAAAAAAATAACTAGCTGTCTTATCCAAAATCATAACGTGGAAACTGCATTAATTTGTATAAACAAATAATATGTTAATATTTTTAATTTAAGAAAACACCTGAATTTGTTATTCATATAAATAAAATTATTATTATTTTTATGTGAAGTAAGTAAGTAGTAAACAATTAAGTAAATATATATTTGTTAACATAATCAAAACATAGTTAGATATGCAGTTATTCGTCTTAAAAATATTAATAATATATTTAAAAATGAATTTTTTATTCAAATCGGTATGCCTACTTAGTTTGAAGTGAATTCGAAATGTAATTCTCTCTAAGTTTATTGAACCACGGCATCGAAGCTTCCGTTGTATTATTGTAATAAGGGTGAATAGGTCATTGAATAAAATCTTTTACAACATGCAATTGTCGTTTTTTGCATTTTTCTTTTATATTTTTCTTTTAGTATTTTACATTTATTTTAGTACAATTAATTTAATAATAAAAATTCTTGAAGTCTTGAATAAAAAATAATATGTGTTGTAGATATATTAAATATTTTTGCCAATGAGTTATATTGGTTTAATTTAATGTTTATAATAGAATACTCCTAATTTAATTAAATCTACTTAAAGATACCCTTCATTGAGCTAAGCAATTATTTTAAAAAATACTATTTATATTTTTAACATATAATATCTATATAATTAATAAATTACATACTAATTATATTATGCTTATTGAATAAAATGGGAAGTACGCACTCAAGTTTTTAAATATAAATGCCCAAGTTTATCTCAAGTTTATTATTATCTATTTAATTTACTGATAATTGAAATAAAGGCTCACCTCTGTATATAGAGTTGGTTTAGATTAAACTTATGTCAATATATCGTTTGTACACACTATTTAATCACTTAAACGTATAATTAAACACAATTTATTTTTCCAAGTACATCCGTAGGTGAGTGAGTACTCTCAACTTTAACCTTAGGTAACTTGTCACATAAACTATTTATAAGCACAATATCAAACACGAGTTTTAATCGCACTGCACTGCACAGAAATGAATAGTTCAATTAATTATTTCTTTTATGAATAATATGCAAAAATCTTCGGCGTGATTGGACATTCGTTAAAGTTCGTAGTGTATAGCAGCGACGCAGTCAGTGAACGCGCGCGGGTTAACACGACGACTGGCGGCGTACGCGCAGCTCAACTCGAGACTGCGCTGAACGCAGGGCTCTGAAACCGTTTAGGGACCATCAGACATAAATTTTTAGTATTTAATTCGTGAAACAAGCGAGTTGTTTGCATAAGTTTTATTAAAAACTAGTGATCCGGTTCACCTTCGCTCGAAGAGTTAGAATTTTCGAAAATAATATATAGTCCATGTTACTCGCTGATAATGTAGCTATCTATAGATGAAATAATTTTTAAAATCAGTTGAGTAGTTAATTTTTATCATAGTTTACATTTAAAAAGCTAATTGTGACGATAAGAATCTTACTTAGCCACAAAATAGTAAACAAAAAGAAACTAAAGTTAAAAATAAATTCAGTTACCCTAAACATAAGATAGGTAACATACTTTTATAATTTAGTAATTTTCTAATCGCCTTAAGGAAGTATTTTGATCAATAACGTATAAGTATATTTAATATATGAACTACCAATTAAGTAACTAATTCGAATAAAGTACGAGCGAGGCTAAGCAATAATGAATGTATAATAGAAACGATTCAGCTGCTCTGAATAAAAAAATAACATAATTAAATACAATTTAATGTAATAAATAAATCACTAGCCAAATGTTTTTAACTTCTGACAAAAACCTGTTAAGTCAACCAATGTATGCACCAATAGCTTACAGAGATCTAAGTAAAAATATATTCACCTCCCTCACACACTGAACGTTGATATTGATGTTAGAAAAGGACGTCTCCGACGTTACAGGTGATTTCACATATAACTTAGTTTAAGTTTTTCGAATCTAAAGGTGTTAAGCGAATAAGTAGTCTGTTATTTAAATTTGAACTTTATTTGTTATTGCACAAATTCTAAATTTGATTATATTTATCTCTGATTTTCAGTATCTGGTAAACAGATAATTGGAAATATGTAAATTGCCAAAAAAATACATTAGCAACTCGATACGAGAGAAACGATATGTTCACGAGCATAATATTTTAGTATACTTTGGAAGACCATGAATATGGTATTTACGGTACACAAGGTGATTTTTACGTGGGATGCGCAAGCGCAGCTGGACAGTGGACACGTTTCATTAGCTGAGAGACTGCATCTTCTCGCTTCGTCCCACTCCTACGCTGTGGCCGGCAACGCATTGGAATAGGACAACATTATGTTTACATTATGGACCGAAACGTAGACGTGGCTTTATTGGGATCTTCCCAAAGCTGATCGGCTAATTTTCGTAGGTAGGAGGAAATTGTCAGTTACGCAGTTTTACATAGCGTCCGTTTTTATATTATTTATTGAGCGTACATAATCTTTTAATGGCCATCATCTACTAGTCACCGTTTTCCTTTATTTTTATTATCACATCGTCTTTAAAATATTAATATAGTTGAATATAATTATTAACTGCTTATTAGGTTCCTTATTAACATTTATTTATTTATTTTAAATAGGCATAAAAATAAAAATGAGATGACGTTTGTTAGGTTTACTTCGGTTATATTTATAACATAACTTGATAATGTGTTTAATAATTTGGTATTTTATTTTTAAATATTCGTAACAGTTCAATGAAAGTATTTAGGGGAAAATGATTTTGTATAAAATTTAATTATAAAAATCCCGTGTTACTATATTCTTTTTAAAGCTAATCTCCAAAACCGCTTAACGTATTTTCATGTACATTTTATAAATATATGTATATTGTTTACACCAACTTGTGAAATTTATTTTATTTAAGTATTATTTATTAAATACAAGAAATTTACAACAGCGAGTACATTCGACCCCGCACTAGACGAACCTGTATCGCGGGAAGGAGAAAGTATATGAGTATCTGACAAAAAAAATGGACCCGGTAGGTGGCTCTAGTTGCAAAATAACATTTGTCAGATTAGTTAGTACCTATATCATAATGGAATTATAAATGTCTAAAAGTCTGTACCTACCTAGGTACATAGAATTTGTTTTGGCAGAAATTTTTAAAATTATTTTTGCACAAAGTCTCCCTTTGGTGACTTCATTGCTTTCAAAGATTTTCATTTAGTTGGAAGTATTAGCCTAATTGAAATATATGTAATTTTTAATATAAACAGTCAAGCAAATCATGAGATATAACTTGAACCCTTGTCTCTATTAAGTCGTGTAGAATGTAGGGATCTTTAACTGGACATTTTCATTCATTAACAATAATATCATCATTAATAATAGACAGAAGAAAAACTTCTTGTTTTAGAAACATTAGGTAATTTTTTCATAGAGTTCTTTTAGCAACACAAACGTATCTAGAAAAGTAGATATTAGAATAGGAATTATTAATTTAGATTTTATAATTAAAAATTAAATATATGTGAATAATAAATAGTTATATATTAATTATTTTTCTTACAGTTTAATTTAAACTTATATATATATATATATATATATATATATATATATATATATATATATATATATATATATATATATATATAAAACTATATCCCGCGGCTCCGGTCCTGTGATCACTACATAAAGTATTCTATGTGCTAAGTTAAAACATAACCTTCTCGTGTATCAAATTTCATTCTAATCTGTTTAGTAGTTTTTACGTGAAAGAGTAACATTGTTCCATTCATCCATCGTTACAAACTTTCGCATTTATTATATTTAGAGGACTTTTTTTATTATTATAATATGTTAATATGTTCTCGCAACTGTATTATCCTAGACAAGCACATTGGAAAACTGTAAAGCTCACGTAGTCGTGTTAAATAAATAAAACTTACCTTCTGAATTAAATTAATTAATTAAAATATACGACTAGTAAAAAAAAAAAGAAAATCATTATATATTTGTCTGTTAGGAAATATTTTAAAGATACGTAGATATAAATTAGTAAATACTAATCTATGTCTACTACATAATGTAAAGTAGCAATATTTGAATTTCTAATAAGACATCGTAAAGATTAAAGGTATCTACCTATACCAACATTAAGTTACAGAGATTTACTGTATTTAAAAAAGAAGAGTGGCAATTAATTAAAAAAAATAATTTGTATACAAAAAGCAGCAAAATATTCTTTAACATTTCTCATTTCACAACTTTAGTGATGAAAAATTTCAATGAAGAATTTTTTTTTATACGACTTAGAATGGCAAACAAGCTGACGGCCCACCTGATGGAAAGTGATAACCGTTGCCTATAGACATGAGCAGTACCATGGACATAACAGTACACACACATACTGTTTCGCCCATGATACCCCTCATGCATTGCCATTCCTGAAGACTCAGGTGTTATTCCTCTGTACCCTGTAAATTCACACCATATCCCACCCTTCAAACCGAAACACAGCAATGTAAATACAAGTGCTTCACGGTAGAAACACGAATGGAACAGAGGTACCCAAGCAATCGACTTTTGTACAAAGTCTCCCTCTTCAATAATTCAATTCTTTTTATGTTTTTTTTTTATACCACGAAGCTAGCAAACAAGCAAATAGGCCATTAGAGTGTAAACGGTTACTGTAATAATAACTATTCAATCACAATCGGTTAGATCGCATATAAAGTCGGCTCGAATTATTGATGATCAGCGCCTTACTGTCTAACTCGACCCACTGAAACTGCGTAGAGATGTTGCATCTCTGTGTATCTTTTACCGAATTTATCATGGGGAGTGTTCTGAGGAATTGTTCAGATTGATACCTGCTGCTGATTTTCACCACCATACAACCCGCCATAAACTAAAATTTGATCCCAAATATCTGGACGAGTGGCAGTCTTCCAATGTGCGTTTTTTAAGGCACTTTCTTTCATGCACAACCTTTCTTTGGAATCAACTTCCAGCAGCAGTATTTCCAATCCGAAACGACAACATAACCTTCAAGAAATGAGTATATTCCTTTTTAAAACGCCGGCAGCACACCTGCAATGTCTTTGGTGTTGTGGATGATCATGGGCGGCGGTAGTCACTTACCTTTAGGTGTGCCGCATGCTCATTTGTCCCCGTGTGTTATAAAAAAACAAATCAAAAATTTATAACTTTACAAGCTGACTCAGCAAATATTATTTTAACTCTTACCTACCATCACATAGCAGACCATATCGATCGAGTTCGAACTTGAAATTATACATTTAGAAAATTTCATTAAATTGGTCTAACGATTTCGGGGATTAACGTAAACAAATATCGTGACGCGAGATTTTTAAATATTGCTAACTGTATCCCGCAACTTTGCAGACCATATCTATAAGCTTAGGTTTAACCTATTCGCGTACCAAATTGTATTCATTTTACGTGAAGGAGTAATAAACATCCATCCATTCTCACAAATTTTAAAGTTTAGTAGAAAGAATTAAGGTTTTTTTATACTATTTACTATGATACCTAAAAAAATTAAAAGTAAAAAATAAGATAAATAGAAATGTATAAAGGTACCCTTTTTTGCAACTATTACAATGTATACTGTGACGTCCATGGTCCTGCTAATGTCTACAGGCGACGGTAACCACTTTCCATCAGGTAAGCCGTCAATTTATTCGTCATTCAAAATTGTAAAAACAAAAAAAAAATAGGGAAAGTTCATACTGTCAATATGATCTAAACATTTACGTAGTTGTCGTCTAAGGCGATTACTGGTGATTTTCCACTTTCCCGCCCGCCGAAACATGACTGTGTGCATTTGTGCATAGTGTACAGACGCAAGGCATATTCATTATTGTCAGCCAGTAATCAGCATCTCTTAATGGTCGAGAGATGGATAACAGCGTCTCCTTTAAAACATCACCAAAATCTTAAATGCGGTTGCCAACCCGCCTGTCAAGCTTAGCAACTAGTGGTAAAATCCTCCTTACTCTCCATAAGGCAAGAACCGTATTTAACAGGAACTGAATAGTTCACCAGTAGATGGTTAACGCCTAATATGATGATGATGATGATGTGTGACAAATGTAATTAAATTCTTTTGCATTTATGTTTATGTCACGTTATAACTGAGCTAATTCTAAACAATT